ACATTTCGATTGCTCTTTCAGTGTAAATGCTCATTTAGAGATGCAGGCAAACCAAAGTCAGCAATAATCAGAAACGAAATCAAGCGAGGGAGATGTTAATTACATAAAATGTCATTCACTTCGATTAAAACTTAAAACATCAGTTCAGACTAGACAATGGTTAAGCATTAAGTTAATGAATGTTAATTAAAAAGAGAAATTTCATTAATACATAAAGTGGCCTCAAAGAGCATTTGGACACTTTAGACATGCCATTGAAGTAGAAAACAAACATTTCACAAAACAAAGTTATGTTTTAAACAATAATAATTTAAAGGAATATTTCATCCAACAACTAAAAAGTGCTTAAATGTACTTATCTATGATGTAGATGAGTTTGTTTCTTCATCAGAACAAATTTGGAGAAGTTTAGCATTATATCACTTCCTCACCAATGAATCCTCTGCAGTGAATGGGTGCCGTCAGAATGAGAGTCCAAACAGCTGATAAAAACATCACAATAATCTACCAGTAATTAACATCTTGTGAAGTGAAAAGCTGTCTTCTTAAACAAATGCATCAAGGCATTTGAACTTTAATTCATCGCTTCTGGCCAAAATACGAGTCCATAATACATAAGTGCGCTTCCTCCAGTGAAAAAGTCATTCCCCTGTTGTCAGCTCACATCAAAAATCTACCAACACATTTTATAACCGTTTTAGACTGTTCTTGCCTGTAAACGATGCTTGATCTCTGCATATTTCTCTCCTGATTCAGAAGGTGACGTTTTTCCTGAAGAAAGCAAGATTATTGATAGAGGACTTGTATTTTAACTGGAAGCAACAGTTTGAAGTTAAAAAAGTCATAATGGTGGATTTGTTTATAATAAACATGCAGCTTTTTACTTCACAAGACATTAATTGAAGGACTAGAGTCACGTGGATTACATTGTGGTGTTTTTATCAGCTGTTTGTACTCTCCTTCTGACGGCACCCATTCACTGCAAAGGGATCCACTGGTGAGCAAGTGTTGCTAAATTTCTCCAAATCTGTTCTGATGAAGAAAAACATTTATAGTATATCTTAGATGGCCTAAAAAGTCGACCCTTTTATTTATTTATTTTTTTTAAGCAAATGTTCATTTTTGGGTGCACTACTCCCTTTAAGTGCCAAAATTCTTTCTGAGGCCACTGGTCATATTCATATCTAATGCACTCAACAATCTAAACAACAACAATGTAAGTGGAATGCTGAAAGACTGAACTTGAGCATCCTAAAACACAATCTAATGCATATAATTAACAAAATAGCTTTGTACAGCACATAATCTAAGCTAAATATGAAAGGTATTGCAATTTGGCATAGAGTCACACAAGCATGAGAAACACCCAATACAGTTAAACTAATATTAACAAATATTATACATCACACAACAAAAAAAGTACAAACATTTCTCAAATCAGGTATCTACCTCTAAAATAATAGTAATGAACCAAACATGTTAGTACATTCAATCTACAACAGTCTCCAATGGCAATAGTTCTCAACTTTTGCCTACCATTTAAACCGAACGCCATGCTTATATTGTCTCTCATAAAGTACATATTGATTGACCACATTTCACAATGGATTGTGTCATTAAGTCAGACAAATACAGTTGCATATTGAGAGACACGTAAGACACTACTGTTTCACAATGAATGTTAAATTAAACACATTTATTAAAACAATGCACAATTATATAAATATGCAAACCAAATGCATTTGCACAAGCACAAAAAGGCAAAGGAACTGACAAAGGATGTGTGGTACTGTAACTGACCACAATGAGAACAGAACCATATTGAAACAGAATCATCTTCCAGATATTCCATCAGGTGATGCAATGCATATCAGGTAGATGTGGTGTTTTGTCTTAAGACTGTCCTTCAAGTAAGTCCACAGGTTTAGCCCTTGAAAAGAATATTGTATCCATGCTACATGTCATTAATAGCCCATTTCTGTAAATTAAGTTAACTGTACTAATATAAAGAAGACAAAGCCGTGCCGACTCTGAGATGCTTACTTGGAAGGATTCTCTCTAATGCGTGTTAAATAAGCAGTTCAACAATCTCTCACAAGAGTCTTATGTCCTGAACCATCAAAAAAATGTTTTAACTCTCAGCAGAGGTAATCTGGTACATTACATATACAAATAAGAAGCATAAAATTAATGAGTAAAACAGCAAAAAAAACTATTAAGGGTTTGCTTTGTCACTTAACTGTAGGTGCAATAGAAAAGATTTCTGCAGTTCTTAAAAAGTCTTAATTTGACCTTCCACAAATTGAGGCCTAAAAAGGTCTTAAATCAGAGCATAAATCATCAAGTCATGGCTTTAAATTTGACATGCTTTAAAAAAATCTATAGCTTCCTCTGTATTTTTGTTTCGATTTCCAAAACAAATATCTAAACATCCTTAAATCAAGATATATTACTTTGGATGCAAACTGAACATATCAAAAATTGTGACTTTATGCTTAAAACTAGAACAAACATCTGTCACTGGGGTTTGAAAACTTGTTTTTCCCTTTCAATTAAGTTTTTCAGATTTTTTTCTGAGCCCACTGACAGTTATTGTTCTTGTTTTAATCATATAAACTCAATTCTTTCTGATCAATTTCTCATAAAACAAGATTTCTTATTTGATGTAATTTTGCCAGTCAAGTACTGTAAAAGATCTTTAGACATTTGCACTGGAAATCCCAACAAAAATACTTAGGAAGAACAGCACTTTCTGCAGTGTGATCAGAAGATAAAGTAAAATATTCAGTAGCAGAGGTATTCAAGCCATAAGCTTTTGCTTGTTTGCTTGTTTTTGTAAAATGAATTTAAAAAATCATGGAGATTTGTTAAAAGTTGTGTTGCCAAACTTTGAAACATTGCTAATACAAGACAATATTGACATACTGTGTTCCATTCAATTTATTTACTTGGTTTACTTCTTTACTTGGTCTTAAATTTACCTTCATAAAACCCTGGGAGAAAGGAAGGAAAGAGAGAAAGCAAGAAAGCTGTAATGGAGGAGACTGGGAAGACTGTTATCCGTCCACATGACTCCAGCAACCTTCATCTTCACAACAGAGCCAGATGGATGAAGTCAAAAGATTCAATGACTCGTATGTGCCTTCAGTAAATCTCATCTTACTGATGCTGGATCAAGATATTACAGATATCTATAAAATAAATAAAAACTCAATCCAGACTGCAATCCTAAAATTGTACACAAATAAATAAAGAACTAAATTACACAGAAACATGGTCTTAAGACGCATTGCTGCCCATGAAAAGTAAAATCTACAAAGTTTGAAGTTAACTGGCTTAGCATCTGTTAAACTGTGAAAATGAAATTGACAAAGATATCGTCTTATAAAAAATATTCAAGTAACATGGATGGACGCTTTCCATACAAAGCAAAAGAAATTAGAGATAAATATATTCAAATGCAAATAAAAATCACTCCACATCTTTTCTTAGGAAAAACAAACCAGGTACACAACAAAATATACATACAACACCAGTATAAAGGTGTTTAAACAGTCAGAAAAAGGAACAGCGCTTATTTTCCTGTAAACAATTAAAGCTTATTAATATCATGAACAATTTTCACCTCACCAGCACTGGCCAACACAGCAAAATCAATACAATTATTTCTTTCATCATTCTTTGCTGTGTTTGATCAAAACTTAACATACAATTCTGATACCACTTTGAAGATCTGGGATTCAAGAAACGATTAAGAGCTATTTTGAATTTTAATTTGTCGTTATAATTGTTCTACTTGAGTTATGCTGATTACATAATTTGTAAGTAAAAATATTTTTGAATATATTTATTTATAATTATTAGGGATGCACAATATTGGATTTTTGCCGATATCCGATATGCCGATAATTTTCAACTCATTTTGGCCGATAGCCGATACATAATTATTTTAAATTTTGGTTAGTTTTTTAACACAAACTTATTTTTTAGAATTAAATAAACAATAATAAAGTTCTTTTATAATGACAGTACATTGAAGATTTGAAAATAACTATAAATAAACTATATATTAATCACTGCATTTTTTTCAGAAAGATGCAGTGGAAACCTTAACATTTTATTTTATGATTTAACATTTGTAAATGGTCTAAAGCAAAAAAAAGTTGTAAAAATTCAAAAAATCTTTTAGAGCTCATAATTTGTTTAAAAATATAACATTAATGAATAAATCAGTATAAAAAAATTATTAAATTAAAGAGTCATGTTTGTGATTTTTTTTTGTTCATGTAAGCTATAGCTTGACCTTTAAATCAAAACATACTCATGATTTTATGGCATCAATTACGGCTTTAGTTAATCAGAAACACAGTCTAAATATTATTGTGCATTTTGCTTTCATTTTATTAGAAGTAGGCCAACAGCGCCCCCTACGGAATTAAAACTCCTTACTGAGCGGACACTAGGACCCAGGGGAGGCTGCTGCTGCATGTGCTATTACTGTTTACTCTATCATACACCGAACACGTAATTGTGTACCTGCATTCTCAGTTTAAATGCAGCGATCCAAAGCAGTGAATCTAATTACCATTCAGGCAAAACTTTGCTTCAAGAATGAGCCACAATGCTGACTTGATCTAATCGCTAGCACACCCTGAGCACATGTGAGTTAATGTATTCCTCTTATCGGCAAGACATATCGGCATAATCTTTCATATCGGGCAGATGCCGATATTTACATTTAAAGCCATTATCGGCTGATTCCGATATTGGTCCGATAATATCGTGCATTCCCTAATAATTATTAAATAAATAATAGAATAAATACTACACTACAAAACAATAAATGAAAATTTTACATTATTACTTTATAATTTATTTACTATGAATTATTAAATTGAAATGTTTAATTGTTTATAATTTTACTAGTGGTCTCACGTTTTTGAGTTGAATTACTGAAATAAATGAACTTTTCCACGACATTCTAATTTATTGAGATGCATCTGTATATGTGTCTGAGGTGATAATCATAACAATAACTCCCTACTCAAGCAATGTTCCTCCCGCAGGGCTGGAAAGTACACTTATTTTAAAAAAAAAATCAAAATTAAATGTCTGAAAAACAATTACAATGTCTGTTATTTACGTTAACTTCATATTTGTTAACATACTCGTTTTCTATTTTAGATTGCATAGAGCCATCACAATTGAATCAAAACTCAACTTCACAACAGCTTCAAGAAAAAAAAACAAATGTAAATTCTCATTCCACTTGCATTCGCCATGACCGCGCCGCCTCAGATAAACCTGTCCGGTGTGATTAGTGTAATGATGAGATTTGAATTCTCACGTCATACCCACAAAACATGGGAAATGAGTAAATGCATTGGTCACAAATATGGGAAATGAAACGGAGATAAATTATGAAAAGACATCACCAGTAATGGCTGCTCTGTGTGGATGAGGTTTGTGTGTTTCTTCTCCTCCAGAAGGGATCCTACGTTTGTTTCAATAGGATTTAATGCTTGTGTAGATGAGCTGGTTCACAGATTTCCAGGATCTAATCGGGTTTTGATGAGGATGTGTCAGATTCTAGCCGTCCCGTCTGGCGTAAGGATGGAAGCAGTCGCTGGGGTTACATCTTCCCTCTGGCCCCGGAGCACCTTTGGGACCCTGGAATCCTATTCCAGTTGAGCCTGTAGACAAATCAAGAACAGGTAATAAATACCAGAATAAACTAAATTTTTCAAAACATACTACTGAGGTGTTGCTATGCAGTTGCTGGTTTTCTGGTGATTTCTATGAGCAGTAATAATAGTGATAATGATGTTTGCCTTTCTAAACACTGTTATTTAAAGGCACTTTTACTGTAGAGTGATCACGACAAAATAGTGCAGCATATAAGCACAATAAAACTTCTTTTTATGGGCTTGTTACCCTTTAACTGCAGAAGATGAGAGAAAGAGGGAAATCAGAGCATACGCTGATAACAGTGTGCCGTGCAATTATAAAGAACCCCCAGTTAAAGTCTCTTTTGTATTTTTTCATTTGAAGAACAATAAGTGAGCACTTTGTACCTCTATAAAAGGGCCGTTCATTAAAGAATGCCGTAGTCATTAGTTTAGTTTGGTGCCATTATCTGCCTGTGCTTTTAAAAAGTAAAACATTAAAGCACCAATTTAAATAATTGCTTCTATCTCTGTGTTGCAGATTTCAAGAGTGTGAAAAGTGTAAAGAACGGCCATTATGGAAATGTATTTACAAGTCTTTCCGGACCCCAACAAAAACACAAAGCAAGGTTTTTTTTTTCTATTGTTCTACATGAGTTTGATCTAGCCTGTCCATCTAGCCTATCCACGCTATTATATAACAGATAATGTACCTCTCACTCTTAAAAGCAATAACCAACAACAAGTTCCTTTGTTTTTTTTTAATTATCTCTACTCATTATGTGGTGTCACGGCTCATGTATTAAAGGAATATTCTGGGTGAAACACATATTAAGGTCCAGTGGTAGTATCTGAGGCATGCTGTCCAAAAATAATTCAATTTACTCCTCATTTTGTAAAAACAAAGCTATTCTATGGAAACCTATAGGCAAAGACACCATGAAAAGTTTAGAGCAAAAATACAAAGGACTTCAAAAGGTTGGGGATTATACGATTTTTTAAAAATGTTTTTGAAATTCTCTTATGCTCACCAAGGCTGCATTTATTTACAAAAATACAATAAAAGCACTAATACTGTCAAATATTATTACAATTTAAAATAGCTGTTTTTATCTGAATATATTATAAAATGTAATTTATTCTTGTGATGGCAAAGCTGAATTTTCAGCAGCCATTACTCTAGTCTTTAGCGTCACATGATCCTTCAGAAATCATTTTAATGTAATGATTTGGAACTTAGAACCATGCCTTATTATTATCAATGTTGAAAACAGTTGTGCTGAATAATATTTTTTGTTAAAAACCACGATACTTCATATCAGGATTCTTTGATAAAGAGAAAGTTGAAAAGAACAATATTTATTTGAAATATAAATTTTTTGTGACAGTATAAAGGTCTTTCTGTCATTTTTGATCAATTTAATTAATTTGTTTTCAAAAATCAAACAACAACAAAAAAAACCCCATATATAATCGAAATTATTTTCTGCGGTAAATAAAATACACGTCACAGATAGAAAGTCAACAAACTTTAAAATGTTCATCCAGAATTACCTGGTGGGCCAGTGGGGCCTGGAGCTCCTGGAAGTCCTAACCCCATTTGACCTCGTTCCCCTTTCTGCCCTCGATACCCTGCAGGGGTAAAACACACAAATACACAACGTCAGATATACAGAACATATCATCCTTTATCAAATCTATGCAGGCAGGAGTGATTATGAGAAGGGAGAGAGTGATGGTCATATAATGATTTTATTATAATTCTTTGTACTGTATTCCATTATTACCACCTTTTACTAACAGGCAGAATTTAGCATCACTACACTATTTAATTAGTACTTTGTTAAATGAATAATCATTGACATACTTTATCTTAACAGTTTCTAGATTCAGTTCATCTCAGACTTTGCATTTCCATAAAAGTGTGGCCTCCAGATGGAAACGGTACATAAGGCCCTGTCCAAATCTGCCGTATTACACAACTAGTCTCAGATCCTTCAGAACTCAAACAGTTTTCTAAGCCCTTTAGGAGAAATGACAAATCCATCTATCAGAAACACGCTTTCAAAGTATTTAAGGAGCACCACAAATGCTGACAGTGCTGGACGGCATGTCACACGCAGCGGGCAGGCAAACCAACAAACAAAAACACATTAGCTGTTGCTGATCTTTAAGTCTTGTTTTCACACACCAATCTTTATAATGGCATGCAGAAAACTGCCTCCAGTCAAAATACACATGCATTAGTGATGCGTTTCCTCTGAGGCAGACCAAGTCTAGCCTGAAAGAGAAACAGTGTAGCAGTTAATAAACAAGAAAATACCCAAGAGATGCCAAATAATGCAGTAATTGACAGTGTCACCAGTACCAGTTTTTGCATGTGCAACTTACACAAGCAAACTAACTAAAGTGTGTCCGGACACCTTCAGATGCATTCATCCAATGCAATGGCATTCCACGGACGGACGGCACTCTACCTGCGGCATCACATCATGGCTTCCTGTGGCCGCTCACAATCACTGCATTACCACCCCTGCTTGAGGGGGAGTTCATACTGCACAGTTATAACAGGGGGGAAAAAAGCGGCAGGGGGAGCTGCAATACAATACTAGCGAAATGCAGCCTGCAGCAACATCTACAAACTGTCATCTTTCGCAGATCTTACATTTAAAATAATTTTTCATACTCAGAAAAAAAGACAAGAAAAATGAGAATGAAAACATGAAATATCACATAGAAATATATTTACATTTAATTAATCTTAAAACAGCTTCGCACTTCCATAAAATGTGCAGATTTGCTCATAGAAACCAGTAGCAAATTAAAAAAATATATATATTTATAAATGTTGTATTGAGATTATCAAAATCCTGGTACATTTCTCTGCATAAAACGACATTTTTTTTTTACATTCATATAATATTGCACACACAGCATAATAAGTTTGATTGGGTATGTTCTTGGCATGCAGGAAAAAAAAGAGTTTAAAATATGAATTAGATCAATTTTATTGAAACCAAGCATTTCATCACCCTAGAAGATTTAAATACAAAAAGTTGCAAAGGGATTAAAAAATGTTATCCCAAAAAACTTGCTACACAAAAGCATGGCTGATAACACGTCGTAAAATAGTTGCATAAGTAGTTTTAGATGTTATGAGGTTATATGACTCTCAAATTGCATGAACCATATATATATATGTGGTTCATGAGCACAAGAAACCTCCAGTTTTTGCATGTGCAACTTACACAAGCAAACTAACTAAAGTGTGTCCGGACACCTTCAGATGCATTCATCCAATGCAATGGCATTCCACGGACGGACGGCACTCTACCTGCGGCATCACATCATGGCTTCCTGTGGCCGCTCACAATCACTGCATTACCACCCCTGCTTGAGGGGGAGTTCATACTGCACAGTTATAACAGGGGGGAAAAAAGCGGCAGGGGGAGCTGCAATACAATACTAGCGAAATGCAGCCTGCAGCAACATCTACAAACTGTCATCTTTCGCAGATCTTACATTTAAAATAATTTTTCATACTCAGAAAAAAAGACAAGAAAAATGAGAATGAAAACATGAAATATCACATAGAAATATATTTACATTTAATTAATCTTAAAACAGCTTCGCACTTCCATAAAATGTGCAGATTTGCTCATAGAAACCAGTAGCAAATTAAAAAAATATATATATTTATAAATGTTGTATTGAGATTATCAAAATCCTGGTACATTTCTCTGCATAAAACGAATTTTTTTTGACATTCATATAATATTGCACACACAGCATAATAAGTTTGATTGGGTATGTTCTTGGCATGCAGGAAAAAAAAGAGTTTAAAATATGAATTAGATCAATTTTATTGAAACCAAGCATTTCATCACCCTAGAAGATTTAAATACAAAAAGTTGCAAAGGGATTAAAAAATGTTATCCCAAAAAACTTGCTACACAAAAGCATGGCTGATAACACGTCGTAAAATAGTTGCATAAGTAGTTTTAGATGTTATGAGGTTATATGACTCTCAAATTGCATGAACCATATATATATATGTGGTTCATGAGCACAAGAAACCTCAAACTTGATACAGTAAATCATTTAATTTTAAGAACACGTTTTAAATAAAAATGAACAAGTAAAGCTAAATGGCACAAAAATCACAAAGCAAAAGCATTTAACTTCAAGAGCAGCATTTGGAAGCGTTTTCGAGCAAAACCACCTCTTTCGGGTCACAAGAGAGGATACAAAGACGTATTAATGTTGCCAATTCTCATTTAGTTTAACTTGCAAGAAAACTGACCCTGAGTGGAATTAATGTGACTCAGATGTGTAAAGTGACCGAGATTGCAGAGATATTTTTCTTCATTTTAGCATATTACGTGAAAAAAAAAAAGTGGTTAAATTGAGGATTCCAAAGGAGGACAGACTGCAGCAGAGGATGACGAAAAATTATGAGGAAATATTACCCACAAACTTCATCATCAACATCAACATCTGACAAATTAAAACAACAAAGACTGCTGAATTTCTGACTAAGCAGGAGTTTAAAATTCCTATTTTTAATTTCCTCCTGACACCTCACATTGTGGAGAAATGTTCCTCTCCAGCAATCTCCAAAGCATAGTCTACAGTAAAATGTGCCACACAACACAAATACACAGTAAAAGTGATACAAAGTGGCTTTTCAGAGCTTCACCTGCTGTTAAAAATGCATCTACACAATCTGGATATCAATAATACAACGTTCACAACATAACATATATGTATGTATACACACTCAAAGTATGTTTTCTTTGCATGGACGTCACTTATTAGAGTTCAAATGTACACAACATAGTCTTATATCTTGAAAAACATCATAAGAACTCAGACAGAAGAAGCAGAACCGAACTGCTAGTCATTACTGATGAGAAATGCTAGAGGAGCAGTACGTTAGTTGCCTGTCTTTGATGAATGTTCAGAATTGATTATTTTCTTCGGGGGGGGG